TCGAGGATGCCATTGACTGTGTGCTCCAGCAGCGTCCAAGCCTGAGACCGTGGAAGCGACGAGCATATGTCTTGTATGCACTGCGATCCTTGGAGCATCACAAGCATGCCTGGCGTTGGGAATTTGAAACGTCGTGACCAAAGTGTCGACAAAAAGCTGTGAATTCGTGGCCAAACTGGCTAGAAGGACCTGGGTCCACGACCGGAAGTTGTTCGAAGTCGGCCCTTGTTCCGACTGAATGTGCAGAGACCCCATGAGGAACGGGATCCACGACCGAGAGTTGTTCGAAGTCGATCCTGTTCCGACTGGGTGCGCGAATATACCTGATAACCGATAAAATTGTGCAAACAGAGCTCTATAGACATCTTTTTTTTGTTCGATTGTTGGACTTGAATGATATTCTTTGCTTGTTGTGATTTGACCTGAAAGACCAGTTTCGTTTCCAGAGACATTGAGTCTTTTGAACAGGTTGAGCGGCAACAAGTGGGACCAAATGAAAGTGGACACCACGCAATGGAATTCCAGGAGGCCGGCATGTCGATGCCACATATAGTCACCAGCCACGAAGTTACAAGTATCGGCGAAAAGCTGTGAATTGGCTATTGCAAAGTGTCGTGACCAAACTGATTAGAAGGACCTGGGTCCACGACCGGAAGTTGTCCGAAGTCGACCCTTGTTCCAGCTGAACGCGCAGAGACTCCACAAGGCACGAGATCCACGACCGAGAGTTGTTCGAAGTCGATCCTGTTCCGACTGGGTGTGCAACTATATCTGATAACCGACAAAACAACATGAGTTGAACTGTGGGTAATTTGTTTTGTTTTTCAAGTGTTGCATTTGTATGAGCATTGGTTGTCCTAATGCCAGGTTGGGACGTGCGATTTCGCACACTTCGGCGGCTCTTACTACCGGGACTAGCGTTTGAGCTCGACCGGCGCTGGATAAAAAAGAATCGACCGGGACTACCGTTTGGGCTCCGAAGTACAGTGCAACAGAATATACATTAATAGATTTGGTAATAACGTGATAATAGTATCATAATCATAATGTATATATATATATATATAGAGATATATATATATATTATATATTGTGTCATCTCATCATCATCTCATTTTGTTTCATCTTAATGTTTTGAATCATCATATATCATCTCTTCATTTCTTTAGTGCTCATTCATCTTCTGTTACTTCGCTTTTCTTCCCTTCTATTTGTTCTCTTCCGCCTACTTGCTTTCGGGCCACCCTGTCGTCTAGTTTATAAGAAGGACGAGGTCGCTGGAAAACCGTTCAGTTTTTTCATCAGAAGTTCCCCATGAACTTGTTTGGTCAGCTGCCTAAGGGGCTCCAAGAGGAATGGGCAGTCCTGGCGACTGTGTTGTTGAGGAACGGACGCAGACGCTGAATGGAGGAAAGACGGGACAGGGCGCGTCGCGTCAGTTTTGGCGTGTGTCATGTTTTGGAGATTCGTTTTCACAAAAAGGGAGAAAGAATCAGCGAAGAGTTTTTGCGCGATGAAAAAGAAGAGCGAATCATTGTTTTCGAGTTCTCTGACCTTCCTCGCTATATTTTTGTGGAACAGTCAGATATGTTAAAGATATGCGCGCGTATTTATATATATATATACACCTAAATCCTATTTTCAATTAAATCTCCTCCTCCGCGGATGAACTTGGCTGTGCAGTTTTTGTCGAACGAACGGACCGCGCGTGAGACCTTTGCAAAGAGATTGTTGTGAGTTTGATCTGAGAGGTACCTGGAATGCTTTGTTTGCCTTCGGTGTGTCTAATGCTGGATGCTCCTCCAGCACCAAAGTAAAGGACTGAGCCTGTGTGTTCATGTTGCGACAAAACAGGTCACTACACTAGCGCTTGTCTGTGCTGGCTAAGCAAGTTCTGGCTGCGTTGGGAAAGAGACACTCCTCAGCGCCGATCAAAAAGATCGTGGCGAAGAATACGTCCTTGAAGCCCCAAGTTTTTCATAGCAAGAATGTGAAGACTCAAGACAGGCAAGAGAGCCAGCGGGAATCGCAGATTTCGTGGGCCTGTGGCATCTGCCGCGGGTGCTGCTTCGAAGGCCAAAGAGGTAGAAGAGCGAAGAAAAAAGCAAGGGAGAGAAAAGTAGCGAAGACCGTGTGCTCAGAAACAACGGGGCAAACAGCCCAAAGTGGAAGCTCGCTCTGTGGCAGACGCGTGTGCTTTTTTGAAGAAGAAAATTGGTTTGGAAGCCTAGTCTCTGCGAGCGCGGAGGCACCTGATCCGCCATCAGGTTTGCACATAGCCAGCAACACGGCCATGGCCGCAAATTCCTGCACTGTGAAGATTGCGGCGCCTACAAAGATGTGCTGGCTTGGACTCATTTGCCTCATGTACGCGTGAGTCTCCCATGTGTGCAACGTGCTTTGCAGCTCTACTTTGGCCAGACGCCTCCACCTTCTGTCGGCCACATTGGTTTGCAGCTAGGTCTCAGTGGAAAGAACACTGGGACCTTGCAACAACTTTGGTCTTCTTGCCAAAGCCATGAGGTTAGCCTGGCTAAGGAAGAGCAAGCTGCGGCGAATCTGTCAGGACAGATGGAGTCCGATGCTACGTCCATTCGAAAATGGAAGGAGGACCGGGCTATTCAGTACCACCAAGTCTTCGGCGTGTTTCGGCGCCCCGCGTCCTTTTTGGACATATGCCAGTTCTGTGTGTACTCCATGGGCCGCGCTTCGTCTCAGAAGTCAGGAAGCGTCCGCCGAGAGGAAGCGAATCTAGGAAACCGGAGCATTGGACCAGTTCAGCCCCGTGACTCGGCGCATCGACAAACAGTGATTCCTCCCAAATATGTTCAGACTATGGTCTGGGGCACGAATCTAGCAACCACGGCCAAGTAGGAGTGTTTTGTGTAAAGAAAAGGATGAAGACAGGACAGCTGTTCATCCACACCGGTGCCATTGATGGTATGTGGCATTTGTGGAAGGGGTCGGTCCCCACTAGCTTGTGTTCACGCGATCTTCTGACGAAGCTGGGTCAGAAGTTGTCGGACCGACTGTGATGATGATGCTGGAAGATGAAAAAGCGCTGATTTTTTCACCGAGCAGTGGTTTTGCAGCAATTTGATGTGAAAATCGCAGCGATTCTTTCCTTGTTTTCATGTACTACATGCTGAAAAACCTTTCACATCAATGCAAAGCACAGTGACACACCGGACATTCGTCATCATTCACCACGTGAAGATTTTGCAAACGTTTGCGACCACACGCGCGGGAAGGAGCCTGGTGGGCTTATTAAGTAAGAGCGGGCTTAGAACAAAAAAACAGGGAATTTTTCTCTGAGACCACAGCGATCCGATTTGGTGCCGTGAGTCGGTACTTTTTGGCTTCCTGGACAACGTGCCGACTGTTCCCAGATACTTCTCACGTTGTTTCACAGACTGCGGCTGGCTTTCTCTGCTGGGCTTGTGCTAGTGGCTGGCTGGCTCCAGGCAATTTGCCCATTGCTGTATCGAGTTGCTTCTGGTTGTCTTCTGGTTTGAGACTGAAGTGGGAGAGGCCCATGTGATGAGTATGGCCAATCACCGATCAACCTCCTTGACGTGGACGGATTTTGATTTGGATCATCACGAAAGGTAGCGGTTACGCTACCTGAGTTTTCCTTTTGCTTTAGCAAACATGTATTATACCCAGAGCTGGAGCCTATCTCACTGAGAAATGGTCCCCGACATCTTCGTTTGCTGGCCGGGGCCCCCCCCCCCACCTTTCAACTCCACCCTGGCGCGCCTCGGGGTCAACGGACCAGTGTTTTCAGCTCTTCCAGTCCTCAACAGTGACCAAAAATCATGAAATTTACAGCGTTTTTTGTGGCTGTCCGGCAAAAAACACCGCAAAAGCCGATGGTTTTTGATGCGTCTCGGTTAGAAAAATGACCGAAAAGAGACCAAAAACCAGGAAAAATTTTGTCGGAAAGGGTTTTTGAGGCTTTTGGAGGCTTCAAAATTGCACAAAACTATGGTATTTACAGGGTTTTGTGCACCTTCCCGGCAGAAAACGCCGGTATTTACACGGTTTTCTGCGCTTTTCCAGCACACAGCCGTGGTGCGCCTCTGGATCGACGGCTACAAAACACCGTAAATACCAGTGTTTTCAGCTCCTCCTGTCTTCAAGCGTGGCCTTAGACCTTGCCGCGGCTGTGGATCGACGGCAACAAAACCTCGTAAATACCAGTGTTTTTGAGCTCGTCCTGTTTGCAAGCATGGCCTGCGGCCACGCTCTCACCTCCTCCCGGATTACGCCTGATTCCCTGCTACCTTTCGTTCACCCCCCTCCTCTCTCAAGTCGACCACCCATGCAAAATGTTTAACGGACACACTAGGCAAACCGCCTTTGTTCTCCGGAAGCTAGATTCTTCTTGCTGCCACTGCTGCTGCCGCTGCCGCTGCCGCTGCCGCTGCTTTTGCTTCCGCCGCTTCCCGTTGCGAGAACTGCCAATACCGGCCCATCGCTGCCTGTTGCGCATATCGTTTATGAGTATTTTTGTGCGCTGGACAGTTTCCTCTGATCCACATGTGAACCAAAAGTGTGAGGGTTACACAGCCGAACTGGGCCAAACTCATACTTTGCCCGATGCTTGTGGGGTGAGATGCCAGAGTTTTAATCAAATCAACGTCACACGGAGTCATACTGCCCAGTATTGGTTTGTTTGTTCTGGTGAATTTCGTTTTGTAATTTTACATTAATGATGCCCATTCTCATCAGTAAGAAGCTTCGTGCCCCAGAGTCTCGAAAATTTGATGGATACTTGTGAACTTTGTCAACTAGTTCTATTAGGGATGGCCGGCTAGGTTTGTTTATATAATATCATACAATCATACAACGCCCAGCAAAATTCTGTGTAATTCTGGACGTGATTTGCGAGTTTCAAGAAGGGCGAGACACTTTGAAATCAAAAAATCAGCCTTGTTGTTGGTTTCCATGACAGGCCTTCTTTGTAATTCTCTAATCCTGGAGCCTTCCAGTGTCAGGTTTGGCCTTCAAGTGGGTGGTTACGATCCCGAAGCCCGTACTGAACTCAAGCGCCTGGGTGGACACATGCTGCAAATTTTCATCTCCAAAAAGGTTGTCAAGAAATACGCGCCTTGGAACAACTTATGCGTGGAAGAACTGGTGACGCTGACAACCGAATTGCTCTGCAACCTTTTAGCCAAGGTGTACCACAGCATCTTTGGCAGCACTGAAGGTGTCAGGTGTTCGAGGCATGGTCTCTTAGTTTTGAGATGATGCAAGAAAGTCTGAGTGTGTAAACCAAGTCAGCGCGTCTAACTGTGTTTTGATTGATGGTTCGTACCTTTCTTTTGGGTTGTGGACGTATCCTTGCCACGACAGCTCATCCGGCTAATGTGTCCTGAGGCAAAGCTTTTGGAATCCCGATCGATACTGAACTAGATGTTTGGCTTGCAACACCGGAAGCTGTTGGCAAGGAGCTGGATGGCCAAGTGCCTGAGATTTTTTAAGAGCCCTGCTGATGTGCAGGGTGTGGTCACTTGTAGCCTTTCGTGTGTTTATCGATGTCCACTGTCCATTGTGTTGTCTTGGGCCCAAGATTAGAACCACGAGACCCCATGTTGTTCCCAATTTTGCACATAGCAATGAACTTGCGTGTGTGATTCAGTGCCGCAAGCAGAACAGGTGCGAATTCTTTTTGATCCGGAACTCTTCCTCACTGACAAAGGGCGTCTTTTTCACTACTGCGGAGATTGGGAATTTCTTGGTGGTGACGAAGAGATGAAGGAGTGAAGAGTTGTTACGTTTGCGTCTCCTTTTCACAGCTGAAAGGGGTGATGGGTTCTCTTCAACTGCTGAGGCCTCATGTGACTGGCTGCAATCAAATGCTAAGTGCATCGTTTTGTTTGAGACCGAGGATTAGAGAGGCAACAACAAACTGAACGCAACATCACGAACTGAACACTGAACAACCTGGAAAATGAAAGAAGCAGCTTTCACGACAGCATTGGCGACCACCAGGACTCTCGCGCCGCCTTTGTGGCCGAGATCAGACGTGTGCTGGCACCCGTGCGAAAGATCCCTGTCCACGAGCTCCAGTCGCGGCTGCGAAGCGCGCGCCCGGGCCAGGCAGCGAAGAATTTTTCGGTTTTCAAGGAGTCAATGTTTTTTTCGGTAGGAACAAGTGCATCGCTTCTAGTAACAAGTGCCTTACTAGTAGTAACAAGAAGCTATTAGTAACAAGAAGATTTCGGACGGAGAGAGGATTGAGAGGATTGTGTTGCACTCCTTTGGATTGAATTGCGCACGAACGGCCAAACATGTTTGCTGTTGGCGATCCCCTTCACGCACAGATGGCACGGTTTTTGACCAGCAAGAGCGGCTTTGCCCAGTTGTCCCTCCAATCCTTCCGAAAACTCAAAGCATATTGTTTTTGGGTCTTAGGGGCTCCTGGCATCGCTACTAGGAGCAAGAAGCTACTAGGAACAAAGGGCATCGCTACTAGGAGCAACGACGCGTCTTAGCTTCTTTTTCTGCTGTTCGGATTACATGCTCTTCACCTCTCCAATGGTTCTCGCAGATGCAAGGCGCCAGCAACGTCCAAGAAGCACAGTTGATTCAGCAAAAGATGACACGCAGCGGAGTTTTAATGGTAAGGCAAGTGCTTGGTGAACACTGAACACCAGCATTTTTCATACCTTTTAAGTCCCGAATTGTTTGTGACGCAAAAAGGCAACCGTCTCTGGATTTTGCCAGAGCTATCAAATAGTGACCCTTGAAAGGCATGTACAGTGTACAGGCCATCTCGTTGATGCATGCTTTGTGCCCCTTGTACCAACGGAGCTCCAGTGCTTTCACCCCGATTGCAGTCAGAGTTCCTTTAGATTCGGTTTAATTATCATAATTACGGACCATTATGGATGGATACAGCCTCTATAGAAGCTAAGGAATGAAGGTACACTTCCCTCTTGAATGGGATAGGCATCAAAAAACCTTGATACGGATTAAAAGAAATAGGCAAGATATTGTTTGGATCACCTGGTCCCTTGGTCCGCTTGGTCGCCTAATCCTATTATTGTGTGGTCCCATTGATTGGGTATTTCGCGAGTTCCGCGAAATAGACCGAGAGTTGTGCAATCCATCTTTCTCACACATTTCGGGAATTTCGACTTCCACGAACTTTTCCAACTGTTTGGACGTCAGCTTGCGAATTTCTGTGAAACAAGTCTTTTTGATCCTTATCAGTTTTTTGATCCCTCACTCCTAGGGTATGCACTGATGGTTCATGGTCAAAATAGGTGTTTTTGTTTTCAAAGCTTGGGCAGGCGATGCTTGACGAGCAGGAGGCCCTCTTTGAAAGGCCCACTCCAAACAGGTTTTTGATGTACACAAGTAGTTGGCCAGTAGTTGGCCAGATGTACTCAAGTAGTTCAAGCAGAGGCGAGGTGAAACAGTTCATATACGGAGCCGTCAGCCGCAGCTTCCGCAGGTCGAAGTTGCACAAGCTGATGGAGCAAGAAGGCTGACGCCGCGCTGTAGCACTGCAGCTGACCTCGTCCCAATTCTATTTTCAGTAGGGACTTGAAATACGTGAAAGGATGTGAAAACATACTTCTATTGCAGCGGAGGGCATACTTCTATTTGTCATGTGAGGGTTTGTGCAATGTTGGGCAGCGACAGCCAAAAACCGTGATGGCCCTCCACTTCCACTTTCATTGATGATGTGCAGGTGTGTCTAAACCATTCATATATATATATATGTGTATACACAAATCTCTCTCTCTCTCATATATATCTATACATATGATATATGATAGCGACACCATGATGTTTCTTGTGTTTACTGTGAGCATAACCAATGGCATCCGTGGGGTGACTCTGCTGCATGGAATATGAACACACTCAAGTCTTTGTGTTGACCCACAGCCATGTACGATTATAGTTTGACTCTGCAGTGATTGAAACGGGCAGCGGTTAAGTGGACAAACTTAAATTCTTTTGCAGTGCTTCGGACAGACTACAGTTGCACGAGTTTTCCTTCACGGAAGTGTTAGTCGACTTGACAGGGCTTTTTACCGGTCGTATTCAGATGGAGCAGAACTTTCCAGAAAAAACTCTTCTAGCAATGCAGAACGAGAAAGACAAACTAATTCAGCGATGTATAGAGATACTCTACTCAAAAACACCAAGGCCGGCCATCAGCTTTCGGTTTGATCGCAGGTCTATGTTCACCAATGCGACAGCACGTGGCAGAAAACGTCCGCTCACGTTTGAAGGAGGACCGACCATGCCATTTAGAACCAGATGAGGTTTTGACTGCCGATATGGGAGCCATTGGGGTTTGATTCCTTGTGCTCTCCATGTGTTCCAATCTGTTTGATGCACAGAATTAGCGCTTGGGAGGAGAGTGAGAAAGTCGCCGCTGAGGGGCTAGAGATGCAACATAAGTGCACCAATATCAGGCAGGGATTAGCCACCAAAGTCTGCGCGGCGTGATTCTGCAGGCATGTACATCCATTTATAGTTGAACCGACGCACAAAACCAGGAAGAATCTTGGCCAGATGATGAACGCCAGGAGCTATGGTGAAAAGTACCCCTCATTCGTTTGCAAGCGCATTTTCAGTTTGTTCACAATCGCTTTCGTCCAGGAGAGACCTCGCCTCCCTACGACGTGCAATTGTTGGGCGAGGGATTGATGTTGTAGGGGGCCCAGCTCCTGTTGCGTGTAGCAGGCTGCGTGCCATACATTGAAATCCCTTGTGCAACTTGTGCACTTGATTGTAGCGAGGCAACATCTGTGTAAAACTTTTTTCTCCCCCGAATGCGTAGCGAAGGGTTCTCGTTTAACTCTACGGGTCTGGCGGTATAGAGCCTTGTTCGCAACTGGTTGTCGTAGCGTTAGCAACCGTCCGCAACTGTCCGCAACCGTTCGCAACCGTTCGCAACAGTTCGCAACCGTCCGCAGGTGGAGCGCTATGGCGCTGACATTGGGCGAAGCTTTGGAGAGGGTTTTGGATGGAAGCATGATGTGTCAGATTCTTGTGAAATAGCGAGGAAACGGGTGGAAGCGTGAGATGTTGAAGTGTGGAGGATGAATCACTGCGCGGGTGCAGCGTTTTGTGAGATCCGCACTTTCTGCGCAGTCAGACTCGGGTTGGTGTTTCAAGGGTGGTGTTTTTGGGGTGTTGGACGTGGCTGTGACATTGTGGGACTTGCGTTCCATGCTGTTGCTTCGACTTTCGTGACAAGTCTCAGCTCAAATGGCGACTTTGATGGATGGGAGCGTGTTCAGAATGTGTCGAAGTCATTCCAAACGTGTGGTGTGGTGCAAAATTTGGTGATTTTTTGTGGCACTCTCAGTACTTTGTGCGGGCTTTTCAGGTGTGGAGGTGCAGTTTTCATGGCAGGCGCAGGGAATCGTGAGATTGCGACGTGTGGCGGAGGTCACATTTCGTGGCTGGCGCAGTACTTTGTGTGCGTTGGAGGTGTGGATGTGCAAATTTTCGTGGCAGGCGCAGGGCATGGTGAGGTTGCGAGTTGTGGTGGAGGTGAATGTCGCTGTGATATTGGGATTGGCGTGTGAGCGGGTATCCACAAGAGTGTTCCACAAGAGTGTCTCACAAGAGTGTCCCACAAGAGTGTCCTACAAGAGTGTTCCGTAGGAGTGTCTTCCTACAAGAGTGTTTCGGAAGAGTGTCCCACAAGAGTGAATGGCATATGAGAGTGCCCCACAAGAGTGACATACACGAGTGTCCCACAAGAGTGTCCTGTAGAGTGTCCCACAAGAATGTCCGACAAGAGTGTCCTACAAGAGTGCCCCGCAACGTGTGCTGCAAGAGTGTCCCACAAGAGTGTCCTACAAGAGTGTCCCACAAGAGTGTCCCAAGAGTGTCATACAAGAGTGTCCCACAAGAGTGCACCACAAGAGTGTCCCACAAGAATGTCCCTCAGAAGTGGCAACTTGTAGCGCACATGTAATGTGGGGAGCAGCTCCTGGGAGCTGTGGCCTCCGGACAGGCCACTTGGTAGTACAAATGTAGTACGGGAAGCGGCTTCTGGTCCCTCGCGCCTCAGAGCTGGCAACTTTAGCTGTGGCCTCAGAACTGCCAACTTATGTGGCCAAATTACATCTGAGTACGTGAGTGTCATACGTGAGTGTCCCACAAGAGTGTCCTACAAGAGTGTCCTGCAAAAGTGTCCCGCAGAGTGACACAAGTGTTGCACGAGAGTGTCCCACAACAGCGTTCTACAAGAATGTCTCCTACAAGAGTGTCAAAGCATGTTTGGGCGTTTCTTTTCGAGTATGTGTTTGCATTCGGGTTCATGGGTTCCATCTTGTTTTTTCCTGATTCCGGGCAGTAGCTACACTGAAATTGACAAACTTGATGTTGAGGGAGTTTCGGCAAACCGGAAAAACAGGGAACACTGTTGGGAACACTGAGCATTACAGCATAACATGATTTGGATGCGTGATGACAGTGATCCTTGTCAGGACGAACAGCTAAAGCAGAACTTGTCAGCGATGAGCTGAACTGGCTTGTGGTGAAAGTTCTGGTTTTTGGGAAAAACAAATGTGATTATGGTTCTATGGTTTCTATGGACGTGCCCACGTTGTGGGAGCAGCTTTGTTTCACCCTTCATAGGTTCTGTTGAGGCAGGCCATTTCACGACATTGAAGACCAGTTGGATTGAACTTCTTAAGTCTTGGTCTTAGGTCTTCGAATCACAAATGGTCATGCCTGATCAGATGTACACAGGAACATGGTCTCCTGAAGGGAACCATGCCAGTTTGCCACCTGTGCAAGGAAAAGAAAGTCATGAGGTTCAGGCCATCCTTGTGTGCTGATAGAGCGACATACCTTCGACCCATTTGGTTTTCGACAGGGAGTTGAGGTCCAGAGTTGCGGTCTTGTTGCCTGAGAAGACATGACAGACATGCTCTCCGTGCGGCACTGAATGCATTTTCTCGAGCAGCTCAAGTGCTGAAGTGACCGCACATCAAGCTGTGAAGCTTTGTGGCTTGGTACACAGACGCGATCAAAGCTGTTGCAAGAACACAGGAACATGCGATCGCGGGAAGCAATTGACAGGTCCTACTTGGACATTCAACAATGCTCATCATTCATTTGGGTTCTGTAGTTCTGGTAGCCAAGAGTTTGTGAGCTTTCCATTGCTGGCTTTACCCGAGGTTGGACTCATGGGGAACACTACGGGGTGCTGCTACTCCGCAGGTTGGACATGAGACCGCAAGTTGTTGTTCTTTGTGGAAAAGGGACATGAGAAACACAGACATGACACCCATAAGAAACACGAAGGAACGATCCAGAACAAGAACACCAGGTTTTCGCTGCTTCGATTGATACTGAAAAAAATCTAAAGCTGCAACGTTGAGTTTGCCAAGGCGTCCAGAGGTAGGGTATCTTAAGTGTTTTCAATTTGCAAGTATGGTACGTACAAGTGGCTCCTCACGTTGCCAGACAATCGCTGCTGTGGTGGAGATATAGCATCAATCTCAGAAACTGGCAAGGACCCATCAATGACTTCCTTTCACAGAAGGATGTCTTGAGGTGTTGCGTCAATAGCTGTTGAGAAGGAACAGGTCTTGAAGCTCTTGGAGCTTGTTTTGAGGCTCCCGGACCAGTTGACCCACTTCGTGATGAGGCACACGGCGAGAAGGACAGACATTCCTACATGCCAAGCAACATGAAAAGACACGAATGGAAACCCAGCCATGTGTGTGGACTATGTGTGCGTATCTAATCGAATCTAATCTAATCTATTATGATATATTAAATTCTGAGTCTATCTCTCCGTTTAAACATTCTTGAGCGATGTGAGCCGTGCCAGGATCGAAAGACAGACACGGCAGAAGCAGGTGGGGGCATGCTGAAGGATGAAGATACAAGTCGTGTGGAGTCTAGACAAGACCGTCATAGGCACGTAGATGACCATCACCAAAACCTCTCCGAATGAACTCAAGCCACAGCTTCATGTGAGCATGCCAGGCGGCACAAGTGCACCTGCTTTGGTCGAGGACGTTCTGGCTCGATTTTGTAGACCAATGGTACCCAAATTCTGTTCTGGCACTGGAACAAAGAAAACAATCAACATTACGAGAGCATTGGATGTCTCTGAGCGTACCGCTTTTTCTTTCAAAAAAAGCACTTCCTTCTGGTCTTGAGGATAAGAAAGAGGACTCTTCTGCCGCTGATGCCGAGGCCGATCGACTGATGTGTTTTCCCACAAACAACACAGCTGCATGCACAATCGTGTTAGTACTGACTGGCGCTTGGAAAGGATCATAAACAGCCACTCCCACAAGTCTCAGTGCAGCTTAAAGATGCTAGCCGGAATGCAGATATCAAAACTGGAAGCAAAATGGTTTTACTGCCAAACATGTAGCGGGAAACAATGTAGTGGAGTAGCTTCTCACCAGTTGATGTAGAACAGGGCTACCTTCTGTGGTCATGCCGCACAAGCTATACCCAGAATGCTTAACATATTTTTGAATCACCCACCATGCTCATTTCACAGGAGCGGCAGTTTGTCACTTACCAGGCAGGTGATTTTCGTGACCTTTGAACAATTTTCTCTTACTGTGGAGACAAACATGTAGAATTCTTTGTTCAAAACATGTTCACCTTGGTTGGACAGATGCAACCAGGTGTAGAATCTCGTCAACACATATTGACTATGCGGTGAGTCTGAGTCAAACGTGTTTCGCGAGTTTGCATCATGAAAGAATATTGCAGGATGGATCAACATACACAGGCATGATCAAGGAAGGCAAGCGTCATGGCGACTGGCTTAGATGAAGCAGTTGATGATGAAAAGGCTGAAGTCAACCGCTTGAGACTCTCAACTTACCTGCAATGATATGGCGCTTGGCACAAGCTTCATGCCCTAGACCGGACCTCTATCTCAGGACACGGTGTGTGGCAGTCTAAGAATTGCCAGTATGAGGGGCAGTGGAAGGTTGGATTACTGTATATATTTCTGCTGCGATACCTACTTAAATAGATCGGCTTGTATACAGGCCGACGCGCAAGACGGACAAGGGCGTCAGACGTGGAGTGATGGACGTGTGTACGAAGGAGCATTATCTTGGGCCACCTACCATTGGCCGTCCTCTTTCCCTTTTTCTGTCCCTTATATGTAAACCTCTCTCTCTCTCTATCTCTTTATCTCTCAGTCTTTCTCTCCCCCTGCATTTTTCTACTCATTCTACTCTTTGAAACTACTACTTGGTGTTTAGACCTTGCAGCATTCAAGGACAATTCCAGAATGGCCGCTTTTCCGGAACGGGCAAGATGGTGCTGCTGGCTAGTGCTATCGAGTTTTGGCTTGGCTTTGTATCATTTATTTGGATAAACGTGATGGGACATCTGTGGCGACTGCAGGTGTGGCACACTCAAAAGGGTATGCTGGTCTATGAGGGTCAGTACAAGGACGACTGTGGAGACCGCTTCATGTTTTTGTCCGCAACTGTATTTTTTAATGGGCAGTTCAATCTTTTGATCCAGGATGATTTGAAGCACGGTCATGGCAAGTTTGTGTGGCCCGATGGCAAGCCCTGCATGTTTCTTTCTCTTTGCCTCATAATTTGTTCTTGTTTCGGGTACACCTCAGGTTTCATTCTTTGTGGTTCCGGGCTTTGTCTGACACGTTGTGGCAAAAATTTATTTATATTTTCAACCAAACATCTGAGCGAGTGGGATTTATGGGCAGGCCGCACTTACGACGGTGAGTGGAGCCAAGGCAAACGCCATGGCAGAGCACTGAGCACAAAGCTTCTTCGAGCGACACTCCAGACTCCAGACTTAGATGGTCACACAAGAGTGCCTCCAAACTTACAGAATGCTTACATCGAAGACTTCTCGGTGCTTCTCGAGGCCGGGGTACCTACATCACTGCTAAAGCCGAAAGGAAGGCGAATCCCTGAGAAACGAACCGACCACACCAGTGAATTTCAAGGGGTCGAAACATAGCAACGAACGGCAAAGGGCATCGCTACTAGGAGCAAGGACGCTACTAGGGGCTCCTGGCCATACTACTAGGAACAATGTTTGCTATTAGAAACCAATACATGTAAATCGAATTAACAATTCCATAGACACACCTTTTTTTTTCATATCGACCCACCATTTTAGAGATGAACACAGCATGAGGTGGATGAATATAATAGCAGACGTCTCTGAAATCACACCATTTTTGGACCCTCTTGCAAACTGTTTAGTTATGTCTTACTTGCAACTTGCAAGCATTGTTGGATATTTTTATTTCGACCCCCTTGAAGTTATACTACAGTTTTCACGGGGTCCAAATTATGCTAGGCCATGTCATGGAAAACTCAATCTGTTCACTCAATCCTTCACTTGGGTTGGAACCAGCCAACTCAATCAGTCAGAGCTTCAACGATTAGACGCGTTCCAGATCGAAGGGTATCGGAGATACATATATCTCCCACGAGTGTTTCCAGAGCAATTAATGACCAACGCAGCTGTGAAAGAGCCTCTAACCAACATGGGGTCTCAGTTGTAGAATTCTCAAGATTATGGTTGAAACGACAGATTAAGCTCTTGGGACACATCATCTGAGCAGACCCTCAAGATCTCATGCGCCAGGTCCTTTTCCTTCCTAACTCGCTCATACCGAGAACTGATCATGCAACACGAGTAGGCAAACCCAGGGCCTACTTGTTAATCAAAACTAATGCTGTTGCGTATAGAGAAGGTTGTCAAGCAGATGAGTTTGACATCAGCAACAATCATCAAAGGCATCTAGTGAGCAACTTGGCCCAACAAAGGCGGCATTTTTCCTGACCATGTGTCAACCACCTCGTTACCGAAAGCTTGATCACTCGTCACCGAAAACCTCGTCACCGAAAGCGCGCACATTCCCGGCCTGGCCTTTTTCAAAATGCTAGGTTTTCCCCACTCTGTCGCTTCTTTTGTGTTCCTGTTCCGCCCGCGTTATGTTTATTGTTTGCTCCTCCCCCCTCCCGATGATTCATATGGAATATAAATGGTGCTGCAAAGCTCGTAAGTTTCAACTCGTTCTGCAAAGTAGATAGCTAACCACTGGGTCTGCACTCAGCTTCGGCTTGTGCGATGCAAAAAAGACTGTTGAGAGAAGTCGTTTGTTTGCCTTTCATGGACCTGGTGATGCAAACAAGACAAACTGAGAGATACAGTAAGACATAGATGATATGTGAAAGCCATGTTCTCTTACCCCCACTCCTCTCCCAGACACACCTCATGATGCAGGATATGCATTTTCAATGCCAGCGAAAAGAGGTTGCTGAAACGATATAGCAGTGAACGCGACCGAACATAATCACGCCCATCAGCGCCTTCGGTGCGGGCGGATTTGCATGACTGAGGTTGGCTACTGGCAGGATGACAAATTTGATCGCTGGGAGAAGGCTAGGCGGCTAGGGGATGGCCGCAATATCATGCCAGACTTGCAAACTGCAGGAATTTTCGGTACTTTCCAGGGGAAAGGACAGGGAGAGTTCTTTTCCTTTCCAGCGTTGTCTCGAGGAGGAGGGCGCATGAATCGAAAGCTCCAAAAGCAAGAGCTTGTTGGGAGCTGAAATGGATGGTGAATTCTTCAGTGTGCAATCATTTGTGAGTCTTATGAAGGGAACATGCCCAGAATGCTTTGCTACATGATTTGTTGGAGACTTTGAGTCACTTTCTTTTGAGATCTTTCCTCATGCAGCTTTCAGGCCCGGCTGATGCTGGATGAAGCGAAGCTTCTGTGCAGCTGAAAGCCAAACACCAGAGATCTACTTGCAGCAAAAAGGGCTGAAATTGTGCTTGGCAGAATCTATAGGTTGGGACAACAAGTAGGGCAGCGATTTCTATTTTTAAGGGTGCCACAAGATCTTGCTGCAAGCCTGTCTTTAATTCAGCCCAGAAGCAAGAGTGAGTGGTTCGGTTGATACAAGATCCTTGGCATATGGGGCATATTTGTACAGAGATACTCATGAAATTCAAAGAGGTGGCACGTGCCCTGGTTACTCGTATTGATTCAGCGACTCACTCAGCTGACTCTGGGTCCTTGGTACCCAACTCGGCTAAAGCCGTGGAGATCGAGATCAGGTGCCAACGTTTCACAAGGTGATGCAATCAAGTGATGCAATGGCATCTGTGTCTGGCCTTGATGGCTAAGCGGGGAGCCTGCCAATTTCCCGCAGCTTACTTGGAAGGGAACTTCTATCTTTGTGTCATCCAACTTGGTCTAAATACTCGACTTGTTTTACAACCTGGCAGCGCTGCGCTGCCAGCCCGTACAGATTCTTCCTGGAAGTCAGACTGTCACGCTCGTTGTGCGGAACGAGTGAGCAAGCGCGGCGGAGGCTCCTATGTAGATTGCAGCTTTTTTGGATACGTGCGCAGCTGCCCCGTGCATGGGTCAGAGTGACAAAAGAGAATGAGGCCGTTGTCGTAGAATGTGCTCCTTCGGTTCCTTTATGAAAGAGGGAGCCGTTTCACTTATATATCTCACAATCATTCAATCATTCAGACTCTTTTTCAAGCCTGCACTTTCGCACTTTATTCAATCCCGGGCAAGGAAGCTTGAGTCAGCCTTGTGAAATGCAACATGTACAACAAAGGAAATTGACGACACTAGTAAGAGGTGTGAAATCTTGTGAACATTTTGGACACCACCATGCGTCAAACAAGTGTTCCTTTGTTGAGCTGATGCCGGATGCCGTGCCGCCGGCACATTGCCTTGTTGATTCCTATTATTGTCTTGGCGGGGTACCCAGATAGATTTGGGCACAGTCAGCACACAGTTGATTTGCCGAGCTGAAAACCTTCGCATAAAAGCTTGACTGAAGGTCCCAACTGACCTCACTGGTGTGGCGTGGTCTGTGGCAGCATGGAACCAGCATCGAAAGTCCAGCTACTACCAAAGGGTGCCTGGCCAAGTGTGCATCATACTTTACCATTCAGCCTTTTTGGCTAATGGAGGGTGCAGCAGGTGCTCTAAGCTTTGCTACAAGCATAAGTTCGTTTCACATAGTTACACACTCATCCTTGATGCACGGGTGAGAGAGAGAGAGAGAGAGAAAGTAGTCAATTCCATTCTTTGCTTTGATATTCCTTAGTACCTACTGTAGCACCTTGCTTAAATATATAGTTGCTTTGGACTTTGGATGATGTTGAGCGAAGTCATTTCTGAGGACTGCCTTTGGATTTCTTTGCTGCAGAAGCGCGGCCACAGCCAACAGGACAGTGCAAGAAACCGGGCCTCGTTGAAATGGGGTACATATATAGCCAACAGATGCAAAACGCTTAGCAGCTGGCTTGCAATGTGTTTAACTTCGATTGAGAACAGTATTGGCAGGGCCACGCAGGACGAAGTATATACAGGAAAGCTTCAAGTCACACAACTTAGTGTTTGATCACAATTTGTCAAGCTTGCAATTCTCAGATCGTGCTTGGAAGTCGTGACTTTGGGATTTCTTTCGTGTACGTGTGAAACAGTCTAGAGATTCCACATTCGTAGGCAGTGTTTGGATGTTTCTAAGGGGTGGCTGCAAAAGGAACATTCGCAGAAAGAGTGTTGCCTCATAAGGGCAGAGTCACATCACCATGTTAGGCATTGTGATCCTATGCCCCTTGTCTGTGAGCTTCTTTTTGTACATGTTGGTACGGGCATGCTCACATCGTCCAGCACATGAAAACTAGTGGGACCTGTGACTATTCTCGTGCCCGCTGTGGCCTTCCCTAACAGTTGAATGAACAAAACACACTAAGGGACCAAGCTATTGATATTCTTTTCTGGCCAACGCTTGAACAAACTGATCCGATTTGTTTCACTGGGCTTTGTGCCTTCAACCAACCACTACAGCCGTCGTGCCCTTGGCTTTCTGCCGGAAGGCATTGCGGGTGTCAGCCCCTCCTGGGAAAGCTGCTCCCAGAAGGTCTCCAAGTAAGGTTCCAAGGATGTCTAAGAGGTGTTGGAGGTTGGAATGTGTGGAAGTTCCGTTGTCCCAGTTATCCCACTTGTTCTGTGTGGCTTCACTTCACATCGAGTTCTGGGATGTTCTCGCTGCGTGCTGGAGGGGTTTGAAGAGGTTCTGGATTGTCCTCGGTTGGGGACACTTCTGAAGTGGGTACCATATTCGGTTACGGATTCCAATTTAGTCTCCACACCGGGAGAACATGTTGGGGGGGAGGGTAGGCCGCGACTAGGTAGGTAGCTAGCAGTAGCTAAGTAGTAGCTAGTAGCTTAAGTAGCTACTACTGACAGGACGCAGGATAGCTCACGCTTCTCCTTTTGGGCCGCGGGGGAAGCTTCCTTGAAGAAGCGCTCGCACTTATTTTTAGGGAAACTTAACTAGTAGCTTCTTGTTACTAGTAGCGATGCCCTTGTTACTCGTAGCTTCTTGCCACTAGGGTTTTGAGACAACACTCATGGCTGGACTTTCTCTGAAGGATATTTTTGCCGCCATCGACAGGCTGCAGGTGCATTATTCTGCAGCAGAGCTCCAGCATTGGGTGGCAGAGCATGATATAGTGGCAGTTCAGGACTGCCTTCGCACCCACCAGTGTTGGGAACAGGAAGGGGCTTTCATTTCTGTCCGGCAGTCAAAGGGAAAGAGAAGCGCTCAAACCTGGGTGATAGGCAAGCGCACGTTCTCTCAGCAGCAGCTTTGATGGACTTTACTTATTTGTTGTTATTATTATTGTTATATAATACCGTTATTATTATTGTTATTATTATTAATATATATATATATTTAATCAAGACTGCAGTGGGAAAGAGTTTGAACAGACCTCGCACCCTGCCAAAGAGCAACTTTGCTGGAATGCGCCACCACTTGTTTTATACACTTTTGGACGCAAGTGATTTGGTGTCTTGACAAGTCGGTCGTGGGCTCCTGGAAGAATGTGCATGGAAAGGCATTCAATAGGCATTCAACACGTGAGACGTGAAGAAGTTCTGAACTCCTGTGAAGTGCTCTTCGCTGCAGGAAGCTGATCCCTTGTTTTGTGAAGCTCTGGGTCAGTTTTTGGTTCTGCGTGGCGAGAATGATAGAGATGGCCGTGGTGTGGAAGTGGAGTCATGTGCTTCAGCGTGCTTTAATCCTTTTCGGTCTTTCTGCAGCTACTAAATTTTGCATTTCTTGAAGGCAGTAGGCTTGCTAAGTTGGTGCTGGAGTCATTGTTTGGTGGGGAATGCCCTGTGTCCGAGAGAACACACTGTGAGTGGCATATCAAAGTACTGCATCACCCAGGGCATAGCGAAGGATAGAGAGCAGCAAAGATATTCACCAAGCGAATCGGTTTGCCAACCACTTTTCACCCATTGGTGCAGATTGTCTTGGAAGCTGTTAATGCCACACCGTTAGAAGATGTGGCAATGTTTTGTGGCATACCACATGTCAAACTTGTTTATCTTCTGCCACTGATTTCTGGTGATTTGAGGTTCAGCCTTGATTCTGCACAATGCCAAGTGCCTTCGGACGGAAAGTGCAATCCTGAGTGCCCCGAGCCTTGGCAGACGGACCCGGAGAGCCTCTCGGGACCACCTGGTCACTCTGCTGGAGCGCCCAGCAGGGCGGGAGCCTGCGGAGCCTGCAGAGCCAGCGGAGCGGCTGGTGGTGTGCTCCGTCCATTTGCATCCGCCGCAGATGTTTCTTACGAAAGGCCTGACGTATGAGAAATACCTGGATCCCTTGCGCAGGGCCATCGAATCGTTGGCCGGCTTGAACGGCACGGAGAACGAGGGTGTCACTCTGCAGACTCCTTGCCTTCTTCTGGGTGATTTCAACCTTGACCCGGAACACTTCGAACGGTTGACAAAAGGTTTACCGTTCTGGAAGCAGCTCCTTGTCGTGTAGAGTCAACTATGTTCTGCATGGCAAATCAGCCTGCAATTATTGTTGTCCCTTGTCTGCTGATGTTTCGCAGGTTTCAGATGGTTCTCCCTCTTGGTGAAACTGCTCACCATTCCAATCCCAGCCGACGTGGAGACTTTGCGCTGGCCACAGGAGGACAATGGAAAGGCCAGAAAGGTTTGCTGCCAGTCAAGTAACATTGATGCTTGTGCCTCAAAATCTATACATCTGCAACCAATGCTTCTTCTTCTCTTCTCTTCTTCTCTTCTTCTTAAACTTTCACTTCGTCAGCAAGAGGGCCGTGGACTTTTTGTGCTTCCAGGCCGTGCGCTGGGCGATGAAGGCTTTCGTGCTTTCGAGCGCCATGCTCGGGAGACCCTCGAGGCAATGTCAAGACTTGACGAAAGAACTCAAATGCTTTTCATTTTCCGTATAGGTCTAATATATATATATATATATGTCTAATATATATATATATATAGACAGTATATATATATACATAATCACACATATATGAGATTCTGGGGCTAGAGCATGGAAGGTGTAATAAGAAAAGCCATAGAGAACGCTGGATTTGGCTGTTGGTGGAAGCCGTCCATTCTGGCCTCATAGGTGAAACACGTTTTGCAAAGCTTTTGCCGGACACATTTGCATGGAGGCCCTTTCTGGGGACATTCTGCAGGAAAGCTACGTGAAGGCGGACCCCTTCGGTTGCCTTGTTGAGAAGACCATGGTGTCAAGTTCACACGACAAATGTGGAATTCGGAAGGATGGCTAGGATGGCCTGGCTTGATATTGCAAAGTGGGCAAAAGTGGGGAGAGCCCAAAGAACAATGTTAAGTGGGAAGAGCAAGTTGACTATGGCTTGTTGGTTTGAGCTTTTGAAGAAACACGATGCTTGTTTGGACCATTGTGCTGTGCAAACAGGCGGAACAATCCTGCAAAGACGCAATGAAGTGGCTTCGTCGCGCACAGCGTGGGGCACAAACTGGCCACTTACCAGAGGCCAGATGAAACACTATGCTGTTTTGCTGCCAAGCGATCGCTAAATACCGACAGCAACATCCGTCAACTTAAAGGACAAAACATTGAAGAAAACTAAAAAACAACCAAGCAACGAACATGCTCTTCCGACAAACCCCTTTGTACCTTTTTTAAAACAATTTCTTGGAAAGCCGGTCCTTTGGAGAAAGTTTGGTCAACATATTCACACTCGTTGCGGTTCTTGGAAGAGGTGGACCTTTGTTGGTGCTGTCGCTAGCTAGTGCTTGTTTTGGGTAGGCTTTGCCCTGCCACCTCATCCTGGTTCGTTTGCCATGCTTGTGATCTTTTCAACTTTTCTTGCCGCAGTATGTATATATATATATACACACATATTATGATATACGCAAATTATGTACGTGCATTGTGCATGTATTCAAGATTGTAAAGAAGATCCATTACTATTCGTATCGTTGGTGTCCAGGTCTAAAGACATATATCATACACAGAGACATTGACATCCACGATAGGACTTCTAAATCCAGTTTACCTTCCAGAAAGTCAGGAGTGGAGGGTTTTCTTTATTTGTCTTATCCTCCGTAATCCTTTGTTCGGTTCATAGGACTTTGTAAGTATGTTCATGGTTGTGGCATTCCAGAAGGGTTTTCAAGTAGTCGTTGTCTGGCATTGTGGCACTATTGTTGTTTTGTTGGTATGTCCGAAAAGGAAGTTGGAGCGCTTACAAACGACTGCTTTGTAATATACTGTGTACTCATGACTTAGGAGTTAGCGGAGGTACACCAAGAACTATGAGTCCTATCTCATGTGGAAAGGTACTTTTAGACAATCTTTTCACTACAGAAAGGACTGAGTCTCAGAGTTCAAAGTCTAAACTTTACAGTTCAGTCTTTTCACAAACATGTACATTTTGAGGTTAACTCCAGAGTTCGGTCCTTTCTCTATAGTTTGGCTTTCCTCTATATATATAGTTGCCTAAAACGTCTTCAGGGGCCTGTGAGCCATGACGCGATCGGGCTTTATTGAATCAGTTTTTGCACGATTTTTTTCTCTTGCACGCTGGCGTCGTGGCATCAAGGCCCAGGTAGGCAGGTATCCTTTACCCGGACAGATGAAATAGAAGCAGGAGAAACGAAATAGATGTTTTTTTTGTGCAACTTGAATCTCAACCACTTGCACACACTCATGAAAAGGATGTCAACATGTGTTCAGTTTCTGCGACGGCAATGGATCACGAGATGGATCTGTAGCAGCCGCTTTGGTGACGCTGCGTCGGCGCATGGATGCGGGAACTCCGTTTCTGCAACTTGGCGTTACGAGCAGTTGTTTAAGGTAGCAGATGCTACGCGATGGAGGGGGTGGGGTGGGGTGCTATTGACATGTGCTCTTACATGGAGACTTTTAATGGCGACAAAAGTCGTATGTGCAAGCCTCGACACCACACTTTGTTTCAGTTGATCTGAGGAAGCTAGTCTCTCACAGTCCTTCTAGGCCATCTACTTCAGCCCCTGCAACGCCTCCGCAACGACGGCCAATACTGGCCACTTGATGTCTTAAGCTCTCTTTTCCCAAACTTTTTTCATTCTCCCCTGTAGTGTGGACGTTGCACGCTATCCGCATGATGGTCGTGGAATTGCTATGAAGGACTTTTGCAGTGTTCAAGAGTTGGCATTTGCTTTTGTTCCACGTCTCGTTGGAAGAAGAATAGCCTAAGAACATGCTTGCAACGATGACACGGAAACCACATTCAGGAACCTTTGTCTCCTTGCTCTTGGGAAGATCAACATGACTACGACTACGATCAACCTTTGACTGCTTTGAGTCGTGATCTTCTGCGCGGACAAACGCAGCGCAAACGAGAATTGGAAGATTCCTCATTGCAGATTTCAGCTTTTTATTCTTTTTTGGTTGCAGACCTTGCCATGCTAACTTTTCCAAAAGAAGAAGGGCCTCATTCTGCGGACGGTTTTTTTGAACTTAATCAACTGCAGGAAATGGAGTCCGAAGCGGACCTGTTCCAAGATGATCCTTGTGTGCAGCCAAGCCTGCTTTGTATGCTGACGGGGCGCTCTCGTGGCAGAAAATTGCCAAAGACTTGAAGGTGCCGATAGTGCAAGTCAGCCATCAGAGAAAAGTTTTTGCTAAGCAGGTGTCGGCTCCACGCTAAGCTGTGTTGAAGTTAAGAGTGTACCAATGGCTGTGGCGCCGAAACCTGAAGGTGACCACAGATCTCACACCTGATGAGATGCTGAAGCAGCTAGCTGCTGCCTGCAAATTGCGCTGAAAGAGAAAGTGTGCGTCGTCGGATGTCGAAGTCATTAGTTTCGGACGACCCCAGTTTCACAGTTTTTCAATTTTGATCGGAATTCCAAGGCGTTTTTGCCGACCATGCTGCTGCCGTCCACAGGGTCTGAGGGACGTTGTACCCATATAGTTTGGAGATCCATCATGATCCATCAGGCGTTTGTCTTCATTTGTTGTGTTGACTCTAAAACAAGTCAAGGGATGCGATTGTTGTAGTGAGCTTGCTCTTGGGAGTTTGTTCTTTTTTCCTTGAAATAGCGACCAAGTCTAAACTCTAGAGTTCAGCCTTTTTTTGTCGTGATTGTTTGCGTGGCACTATCTCGCAAGTTTATTGTCTATGTTCTTGTTGCACATAAAGCCCCTACGCATAGAATTACCCTAGTACTCATGTCATTTCTTACTTACACCCGGCCTGTCACTTCATTTTTAGTTTTGCCCGGCCTGTCACTTCATTTCTTAGTTAAACCCGGCCTGTCATGTCTTTTCTTAGTTAGACCCAAAGCCAGCCTGTCATTTCACTTCTTAGTTACACCCGCCCACCATTTCATTTCTTGGTTGGACCCGGGCCTGTCATTTCATTTCTGAATTAAATCCGCCTTTGTCAATTCATTTCTTAGTTGAACCCGGGCCTGTCAGCTCATTTCTTACCTGAATGTAGGTTTGTCACTTCAAACTTCATTTCTTAGTTACACCCGGGTCTCTCATTTCAATTCTTAGTTGCCCATTTCATTTCTTGAGTCTTTATTAAACCCGGGTTTGTCATTTCCTCTTAATTAAACCCGAGTCCGTGATTTCATATCGTAGTGAAACCCGGCTCCTTAATGTTGAGGATGCAGACCTTGTTTTGCTCGAGGAAAAACTCCGGAGTTCAGTCTCTTGAAGGGGTTAAAAACTGATCTACAAACTTTGGTCCCGGTTGCGTATGACAGTGCAAAGCCACAGGGTTTCCTCTAGAGTTCAGACCTGGGCTGCACTCAATTTTGGAGAGGGTTTATCTCCAGAACTAAGTCTTTGGAACTCTGGATCCCTGACGCTTGCCTTTTTCACACATAACTCCTAGCTCATGAGCCCGGTGCAGTGAACAAACATGACATCTTGTGTCCGAAGCCTGTTCCGACAATTGTGAGATGGGACTTCCAGGCAGGGTCCCCTTATCATATCCGTTTCCTATCTCTTGAGTCTATATAGGGCATGTGCACCATCCCAATACACATGAGTTATGAGTTAACCCGTCCTAACTCATCGACCACCACAGTCCTAACTCATCTGTACCAAGCATATCTTAATTGTTGGATAGACGGTATATATGTTTTGAGATGTTGTAGGTCACTTAAATCAGCTAATTGTTAATGCATCACTACGGACCCAGACATACATACATACCTGTAACTTGGAGGACGTATGTATGTTTCCAATAGGCACATACATTCCTCTAATTTTAACGTATGTACGTTTCCCAGGAGCACAGACATACATACATACCTGTATTTTGGAGGTATGTATGTTTCCGATACCTGTCTTAAGCATGGATTTGGTAGCTTGGCTGTTGGGGCAGGGCGAACACATTAGCAGCTTTATATATTTAACTTTTGTTTTTTTTCTCGGATGATATTTCACAAAGACACATTAGGATACTGTAGCGTTTGATCTCTTTTCTCTTGGCGTTTCGTTTCACCGCTCAGTTGCCATTGGAGCAGCTTTCCAGCGCCCGTGTGGCGCTGCAGCGAGCCAGCCGCTCACTGCGGAATCCAAGAATAAGACGAACCCTGCTGTGCCATGGCAGAAAGATCGGGTCATTTTTTGGAAGGCCAGCTGAGGCCAAACGGATAGTGTAGCTGAATTCCCCCCAAATCTAAAAACCAAGTGAATAGAAACCTGAGTTTCCTGCATCCCAGCCTAAGAAGCTTCTGAAACTTAGTAGTGCTGAGTAGTTTCTTGCTTACTTAGCTGACTTGTAAGCTACCAGCTACAGCCTCCACCGCCCGCTAGAATAGTATAACTATGAAAAGACTCCTCAGTCTCAAGTCTTGGCGTAGTTGGAAAGGACAGGCTTGTCCCTTCCAGTTGTTTGGTTTTCGTTCTGGTGCAAGGAACTCAGACCACCGCCCCCTACGCTTTGATGGTACTTTGCAACAAGCAGAACCACAAGGCTTCTGGCGCACACACACACACACAGATGAATTGATGCCTTGCATGTGTCCAGGGTGTGAACAGATTTTTGAACCATAGGTAGATGCTGAATCTTTGCCAATATTTAAGCATTTGAAAGTGGCAAGACACTTGTTTGTACGAGTGTGAAGCCCTGGAGGCTCTGTCCGCGGACGACCGAAGAAGGTAAGGACTTAACTGTGAGCGGAGAAAAGCTGTTCTTGGGTGCAAGCGTGCATCTCATTTACCTGTGAGCCAGGAAACCAGCTGTTTCAGCCACTTCCAGCTTCCATTTTTGTTCAAAGCGTTGACAAAACCAAATGCGAGCACACCATGCAAAACTAGAGGCTGGGTCATTGCATCAAAAGAAGACAGCGAGCAAGCTGTGTCAAGCTATTACTATAGTTATGAGAACAAATAAACATGCGTAGGCCCTTAGGCAGAAACATCTTCTTTTCTCGTAGAGTCTTGCTCCAAGTGAAAACTTACCACTCTACTTTGACTCTTCGATACCTTTACATCATTGTGCTTTGGTTATGGAACGGTGTTGCCTCGTGCCCACTTGCTGGGCATGTGGATTGCAGTGCACGCCTCAGCTGGCCCCGCCGAAGTCAGAGCTACAACAGCATGTCATGTGTAGTGTAGTGTAGTGTAGCGTAGCGTAGCGTAGCGTAGCGTAGCGTAGCGTAGCGTAGCGTAGTGTAGTGTAGTGTGTCACCGGTGTCACATGTCTCACCATGCTGTGTGCAAGGTGGGCCAAGTGTGGTGCCTGGGATGAGCCATGATTGAGTATTCAGAGACATGGCTCATTCTTACTCTCCTTCGATGGAAAGGTGCGCAGAGATTGACATTGGTACCAGACATTGGGTCTCCTTGGGCCTTTGTGAGAGACTGTCACATGACAGGCTCTGTATTTCCTCGGTCTTGCTACTTTGCCATACCGTCCGCTCTCCTCACTGGGCTGCTGCTTCAGGCAGAAGCCAATTCGTCAAGTGGAATTTAAGCTTTTGATCATTTGACATACTGTACTTCAAAAAAGATTTCATAATTATATTTCATCCAACATGTTTTTTTGGGGGTTGGGAACTCTACTTCACGCTTTCGGAGGTAGAAGAATCGGCGCAGGTTCGCCTTCGAGAGGAAGGGCAGATGTTGCACTTGTTTTGCCTGAAATTGAATGTAAACATGTCAATGTGTGGACCATCAAGCCAAAAAATGGGAAGGAAGCAATGAAAGCGAGAGCATAGAACCTCATGTTGCTTCTTACTTTGTCACGTCCAGCTAGGAGCTTGGGTTGCTAGATGCCAACAGAAGCCAGCTGTGGATTATCTCCGTAGGCACGTTGGAGTTGCATGTTTTGTTTTGATTTTGGAAGCCATCAACCCTGAAACAACCCGACCTGATCCGCGAAAGCCAGAGAGCTGAAGAGGTGTTCTTCATGCCCTGCTGATCTTCCGCATCAACAGAGCCCAATCCTTGGTGTGTGCAGTGGAAAGAAGAGTTTCTGCCGTGAACCTGAGCCTTTGCCAGCTCTGAGACTAAGGCGATGGAACGCTTTTGGGAGGGTACAGGGTTGCTTCATCAGGCGCATTTGGGACTGCCATCGCTCCCTTGACGCTGCGGATCTTTGAAATGCATGACTGCCACGTGCGATGCTCAGATGCGCGGAGAATGGTTTGATGCAGTGAGCTGCTGCGTCACCTTCACCCGTGGCTCCATAGCGACAAGGCCAGTGGACCTGGGCTTCTAGGTGTGCCACGACTCTAGTAGAGAATGTACCTTATGCAATTATTTGGCTTAGCTTAGATGAAAGCAAGCTTGGAACTGTTCAGTTGAATGCGCAAGCATGCCTTTGTAAAGTCTTGTTTTAGATACGTGCTAGCCAAAAAACAACATGTTCGACTATCGATGTGCCATTCGTGACAAATGCCTGCGAAGGAGTTGCTGTTATTGAGTTCTCTTAGTGTATGCAACCAATTATTTAGTGTGTATATATATATATATAGTTGAATACCCGGATACCCCTGTTGAAAGGTTGGATCCTTGTCACTTTGTTACACACTGAGGAGTCATGTTAAGTACTGCAGCGGTAGAATGTTGTGGTAACCATTGACCTCCTAAGTCCACTGCCTATCAGTCAGGAACACAGGAAGTTTGTCGTACATGACAACACCCTCGTCTAGCATGTCATGACATGCAAGTGGTTCTCAGCTCAGCCACATACTATACTCATGTACGTTCAGAGAGCGTCCTTGTTAGGCAGTGACTGGTGAGAGGATCACTGCTCCCCTGCCTACCTTATGAATGGCATGACAAAATCTGAGCAATCCGTCTTACCGCTTGTGATAGTGGGGTACAAACACGACACAAAGCTTCTTATTTCTTTTTGTGGAGGCTCAGGACCACTCAATTGGATGGCCTCGTGATCAACTGGAGCATAACTCTTCACACTGTGCTACAGTGTGACTTACACGCCTAAGGTGGAGACCACGTGACTGACAAAGCTTAGACTGCATCCTGACGGCTTCACCGAATGGAGCAAGACGCTACTAGGGGCTCCTGGCCTTACTACTAGGAGCAAGGATGCTACTAGGAGTGCTTCCTGAGCACTGCAGGGTGAAAGTGTCCTCCCTGTGCAGAGGTGTGGCCTGTTCTGCGGACATGGCCATGCGGGGTTTGACCTCAAACCGAATTGAGAAACAAGATATGATCAGAAAACAAGGCATATAGAATCAAGCAACAACAACAATGTGTGTGAAAAGAATCGCAGTCCCAAGTCCATGCATCAAAGCCGAGTAAGACATTGGTTTTCGAGTAGCGCGGAGCAAATCGATTTGCCCCCCAACAGCTGGATTGCCCAAGAGGACCATCAGCGGCAATGTAGGGTGCACCACGGCTTTCATCCCCGATGTTGATACACATCGCTACGCATCGACTTGTGAGACCTGTCGATGCACACCGCTTGGAGGAAAAGGATGAAAGAGTCAAGCCAGTCAAGCCACAATCTATGACAGTGAAGTGATTCAATACACAGGATCCTGCATGAGCTCAAGTCGTTCGTTAGCGTGCAGGTTGGTTGTGTCACTTTCCGTATCATATATGACATGACATGAAACACGATCACACGAAGATTAACTTTTCTGTTGACACATTGCAAAGAGAACGTCATGTGTGACTGTAGGCTGCAATTGCTGAACAAAACCTGTAGTCTATCGTCGGTGTACGAGTATTTCATGATCGCGCATGACATAGAGTGCCACCAGTAGTTGAGCAATCCGCAGTTCACGTGGGTACACATGCAAACACACTGTGCGCAGCCGTTGTTGGCACTCCTCATCATTCCTCCATTTGGAGAAACAGTTGAAGCATGGGATTCACATGTGCTGGAGAACCTGAGAGTTCCCAACTGCCCAAAAATCCTTTGTAGTGAAGCGTTACAGGAAGTGTGGCCGCTCTGGATGTACCAATGTGATGTGTTTTGGCCCATGCTGCATTGTTTTGCTGTGGCAAATTGTGTCCGTTAGCCATGGATTCCGGATGCCGAATGAGTGGAAAAGAAGAATACAGAATGAACAATCAAAGAAAAGAAGGAACCAAGGAATTGAACGGCACAGTCAAAAGAAATGTTCATGCAAGTACTGTAATTGACCTGAACATAGGATAATGTACAACACAAGCTCATCACATCCCGTAGATGACCCATGCAAGGAACTGGCTACATGTTGAAAGCAGGTACGAGCGTCCTCTCAGAATATCATATCCAATCAACAGTGCTTTTGTTAGGCATGCTGAGCGGGTCGCTGCCCCTGCTTAGTTGATTGTGTAACCTCTGAAAAAATCCTCGTGAATATGTTACAATCTGACTATAATCGGTCCTACCACACACTTGAGATATGGTGTACGGAACTGAATGCGGTGCCACACGCCAGCCTAGGTTTAAAAAACCTGAGTAAAACAAGGTGCAAAAGTTGGAGGCCTTAGCTCT